GAGACACGGAGGCAGCTTCCTCGTGCCACTAGCCCCGCCCCTCGCCCACGGGCCTACCCCGTCCCGAAAGTCCCGTGGGGCGGGGGGGAATAGACAGTGTGAGCAGGCGGCCTTGTGTCAGGGTGTGGGCTCTCCCTGCTTCTCTCCCTGACTCCTCCACTTCACCCCTGCCCACCCCATCTTCCCTGTCCTTTTCCCTTTTCTAGAGGTATCAAAAGCTAAAATGATCTGTAAGTAGTTTACCTCTGAATAGAAACCCATGTTTTATTTTATTTTATTTTATTTTATTTATTTACTTTTGGGAGCGTAATTAGGTTTATTTATTTACTTCTTTTAATGGAGGTACTGAGAATTGAACCCAGGACCTTGCGCATGCTAAGCATGCACTCTATCACTGAGCTATATCCTCCCCCCACCTTTTTTTTTAAGAAGTTCATATTTTAAATGTTTACTAACTGTTCATACATTCATAAATAGCAAAACCTGAATTGGCCATAAAGATCATTCAGAATATTCCATCTTTTTAAAGATCAGTATAAGGAAGCCCAGAGAGGGAAAAGGACCTCGTCAGAACTCCTCCCGGGTCCTGGACTCCCAGATCGTTACTGCGTCTACTGTGCTGATTTCCAAGTAGTCTTGTGGGAAGGAGAAATGTGGCAGCAGCAAGCTAGGTGAGTTATCATGAGGATGAACTTTGTAGATCTTGTCCTAGTTCTAGAAGGTATAGTGCATCATACAAGGAGAGTGCTTAAATCGACCAGATCTGCATCATAAAAAGTGTAAGTGACAGACTGTGTTAATCAGGAACAGAGGCAGAATCTAGACTCTTAAGACAGGTGCTCAGTTGGCTGCCTTTTCTCAGCCTAACCAAAAATGCATTTGTTATGATGAATGTAGTCCCTTATGTAAGGAAAGCATCTTATAAACATTTATTACTGGAGTAAGATATGGGTACATCTGGTTTTGTACATTTTGATATAAACCTGTTATTTTGTGCCTGAAAATGCAACATTATGAATTTACAAAATAAAGAAATTCTCTCTAAAAATCCCTTATACTGGTGGTCTCAAGTCATCCCTACCTTGATAGCACCAGAACTGGCAGAAGAATCAGCCCCATAAATTTTAAAGACTTCCTCAACTGGGATACTGTTCTGTTAAATAACACCAAAACAACAAATATGTTATCATATCATGGCTCTTCTTTTATTATAAAACAAGGCTATTATAGCTCCAGTACATCTAGTACCATGCCTGAGAGCATGGGCACCAAATAAATAATTTCCAAATAAGTGGATAAATCAGAGTATCCTAATGCCAATTACTTATGTGTTATTTTCCCCCTTAAATAAATGTTTTCACAATACAATATAGAAGTCAGTATTTTATTTATTGTATCTTTAAAAATAAAACATTTAGTATTAGTAAATTCTGAATATTTAGAAATATTGGTTGAAAAATAAGTACGCATTAATATCAAAATGCACATTGTAGATACGAAATCTCCATACATGCACGGTGTTCATTCCCTTACCATTAAGATTCCAGCGTAAGATGATAAAATCATTGCTTCTCGTTCTCTGTGGTTTGGATATATGGGTCTACCCCAAAATGGCATTTTCCTAAGGGGGAATTGAATAAGTAAGAATGTAGGGTTTACCCTTGTTCTTTTGATGCTTGCTAAGGTTGTGACAATAATCATAAGTGATAAGTAATTGCCAATGGCCGTGTGCCATGCGCTTATTTACAAAATTGATATGATCAATCCATCATCAGCAAAGTCTACGTTTTGAATTTTGAATCTTTCAACAGTGCTGATGAATTGCCCTCATCAATCCGTGTTCCCGCAGATATCCATCATTGGCAGACTGGCCACTATGGTGAGTAGTTATGACTGTGCCAATCCGTTTCCTTTCCCCTTCCTGTGGCAATTTGCTTGGGGATAACTGCCCTACCCCACTGGGTACCTCTATGCTTCTAGAGAAGCTGACAACAGCCCTTGAGGCCAAGGATGGAAAACACACCATGGACTAAGCTAGTCAGCGTATTCCATCTCCCGCTCCCCCTACTCCACCCCCAGATAAGTCAGAGCAAACAGAGTCATTGAGATACAATTCTGTGATTTTTCAAAAGTGCATTCTCCCTTGGACTGAATGTTGTGATAAAGTGGGTTGAAACTAGGAATAGTGTCCACCCAGGGAAAACAGTCAAAAGGTGGATCCTGATGACCTGGCTTGAGTTTTGAGTTAAGCCATGCCTGATGTGGACCTAGCCATGGACTTGTCAGTTACAGAAGAGATAAATCCCTCCCCTCCTCCTCTCTCTGTGTCATTTTCTTTCTTCCCTGCTTTTTTTTTCTTAACTCTGCTCAAACTGGATTTTCTGCTGATTACAACTAAACACTGGTACAGTCATTCAGGACGAGGTGTGCATTCTAAAGCCATGCAACAGAAAAAACAACTGGCCTCTGAAACAAGCAATTCGATCCTAGCCTCACTAGTTTCATGTTCTTCCCAACTGAGCTTGTCTGCCTGGCACACATGGGAGAAGATGCCAAACATTCTGGAAAGGTTCTTAACAGCTGTGACTCAAACCACTCAGCTCAGGCACACATCTGGTCAAACGCTTAAGAAGCTGTGTTTGATAGTCCTTAGGAAAAGGTTACAGACTTTACCCACAGAACTGATCATTAAAAAAAAAATCAAGGCATGTACACAATAAAGCACAGTCATATTTCTAAGGCAGAACATTCTAGGCAAGAAAGATCTGCATCTGATGGAAAACAATTAACAGAGATGCAAAATATGTAAGCATATACATGACTTCCTTGAATTGATGACTGTGGGGTTTCTTCAGGTTTCTAGTTGGAAATAGATGCTCACCTGCAGTATTTTCAAATCAGAATGCGTTATTGTGGAAGATGCCAGATAGAACTTCCTCTGTCACTTCTCATAATCACACATTAGAAAAACCAAAACCTCAAACCATTCAACTTACACTTCCTCCCGTTCCAGCCAAGTTAAGTCTTCTTTGTGATCCAGCCATTGCAAAGCAACATGGATGGCCAAGTCATAGTGTGCCTGGGGACAGGAAACACAGAGAGCAAAAGGAACAGCTTAGACATGGGCCGAAGCACGCCCTGGGCCCGATGACAATGGCATTGCTAAGCCTCATCTACTGTTTCGTCATGTCCACAACGGTGAGGATCATCAACTGTGTCCAGTAACCTGATGCTCAGACAGAAATAACCAGGGATCTGCAGGCACCACATTTACCTCCCACTAGAGAAGTTTCCTCTATGTATGAGGTTGGTGAAGCAGGGGCAGGAAAAGAAGGGATAGATTCATAGAAAGAATACTAAACTGGGAATCAGGGAATCTGGGTTCAAATCCAGGCATGGCCAACAATGAGTGATATTTTATCCTTGGGTGAACAACTGATGTTCTCTGGGCCTCAGTTTCCTTGAATTTTAAAATAAAAGGTGAAGGTGGAGGAGGAAGAGGGACATAGAGGACAATTTCTAACTCTGTGAGTAGAACATCAGAGATGTGCTCCCGAGGGCACGGTGGAGGGCTGTGCCTGTCTGGGAGGCTGGGGAAATTCCGGGAGGCTTCAAAGAGGAGGTCTGGGCTTAGGAGGGCTTAAAAAAATTTTTTTAATTAAAAAAAAAACAACACAAAGAGGAGGCCTTGGTGGAGCTAGGGCTTAAAGGATGCGGAGAATTTCTATAGACAGAGAAGGGCTTCTAAGGTGGAGGGTCTGGTAGAGCCAGAGAACTGAAAGAAGACCTGGTTAAGTGACCTGCTAAGGGTGTTACATGCAGTGAAAAGCTGAGGACCGATTCAAATGCTCATTCCTAGCCTACTGACCACATTTCCTGGTAATGTCAAAGGGTATTTGCCACTTATCTATGAAAACATTTCTTCTCTCCTCCCCTTCCCCAACCCCAACCCCAGAAAAGGGAAGGTCGGTTTTGTTTTTGTGTTTTCAGATGGGCTCCAAGGGGCTAACTCTAAAATTCTCTAAATGGTATAATTAGAACAATGTAATTATTTCTTTCAAGGACTGAACCAAGCTAAAAAAAGAAAGAAAGGAAGAAAGGGAGGAAGGGAGAAATGGAGGAAAGAAGAAAGAGAGAGAGAGGAAGGAAGGAAGAGGGGGAGGGAGGGAAGAAGGAAGGAAAAGGAGGATTGTGATCATTTGTTGAAACCTAATCCAAAGACTGATGCCTGCACCAGCACCATTGGCATCACCTGTTTGCTTATAAAAAATGCAAATTCCCGCCCCTCCCTAGATTCCCTGAATCAAAACAGCCTAGTAATACGACCTCATTAAAGTTTGAGAAGCACTTGTCTAATTGATTTAATTTCTCCACTTAATATGTGCGCAGAGAAGTCCTTTAGAACACCAAGCCTTAACTGCTTATTTAGCTCCAGGGAAAACAGACAGGGATGGGTGGGGGGGGGGGACGGATAATCCCTTCTTCCTCATTAGTGCAAGAGCAGTAAGTAAGCAGCATAAAAAAGCTGACGATTTACTAATCTCTTTTGAATTAGATCTTTACACAGCTTCCTTAATTTATGTGAAGTGAACTTTTATTACATAACATGACTCTGAGTTTCAAAATGAATAATAACAAAGGATTTTAGGATTATGAAGTCCTTTGGTTTTCTCCATTAATGCATATGGTAAAAACATGATTGTATTTTGAGAACTACATGAGAGCTAACCTTGTCAAAAAGTTTTTAACATCCTGCATGTCACTTTTGTACTCATTTTGCTTTTTAATCTCTCCTAACAGTAAATAGCAAAAGTCCCATGATGTATTTTCTTATTCTCATTAATAAGTTGAGAAGACCACATGGACAATCCTAGGATAAGAAGATGAGAAAGAGGACATGCTGGGGGATCAAGGTCAGCCTTGTTTAGGATAGACAGTAGACCCTTGTTCTGTTCCCTCAATACACATAGACACACATGTGACTCACTGCAGCATGCTTTTCTTTACCATATCGTCTAGAAAGGTGAGTTGCCTTCTTCCTTTTGGGTCAAATTCATTTTCCCGAAGTCTGATGCCAATATAATCTCCCCTTAAAAGCAAGAGAGCAGAATTGAACCAGCAGGAATGACACAGGAGCGCAGTTTGCAGAAGGTTCCTTCCCAACCCCTCCCTCCTCCACCAAAATACAAGAAAAGTCTGGTGGCTGAGTTAATATTCATTTTGATTTACATGGCCATTCTGCAATGCTGCAGGTTTAAAGTGTCTAATCACAATGAACAAATCACGGTTATCAAAAAATTAAACTCACAGAAAACTGAATTTATAGGAAAGCAGGGAGTATGATAAACTCCCATAGGCAGAATAGACTTTACAAAACAGAAAAGATTGACACCTGCTGTTTAAAATAAAGATTCCCTTGCTGCCTGTGCTAAACTCAGACAGAATGTCCAAAATTGATAAATTCCAGATGTATGATATTCCGTATAGATATGTTATTTTGCCCAAAGGCATTTTCCCATCAGAATGCAAATACTCTTAGGAGGAGTTATACATAGAAAACTATTAGTGATTCCAGTTTAGCCTATCCTTATCAGATCCTTTCCTAGTGGGCTTTTAATAAGGGGAGGTTGAATAAGGGCCCTGGTAGAAAAGAAAAGGGGGCTACCTTGGGAAAGTCGAAAAGAGGGACTGAATGAAGGAAAAAGGACTCTGGGGTTTCCAAGGTCGATCTCGGCAAATCTCATAATGTTACGTGAGGACAGCTCTGTTTCTCAAGGTCTTTACCAAACACTTTAGGCAACTTCCTGTGATGGGGATAAATTGCTTTTGGCTTCTAAAAGTTCTTCTTCTGAGTTATTAAGCTATTCTAGATTGATACAAATTCTTGAAGTTTTGCTTTGTAATTCCAAGACACTTTATTTGTGTCTTGGATTCCTAAATGGATTCTTGGGATATAAAATTAATTTATATCGGTTTTAAAGTTCCAGATCTTTGGAGGAGCTATGTAGAGGAATGGGCATTCCTAATTAAGGTTTGTTCTTAATACGTTGGTCTCCAAATAAATACATGTAAACGTGTGAATTCATACATAGTTTATTACAGCATTTCTTAAAGACGTGTGAAAAGATAATTCTCTTAGCAGGCAGAGAAAGGATATTTAATAGGGACTGTGATAAGGTCTTTAATGAAAAAGATATTATTGTTGTGCCTATAATCATGAAATAGAACATAGCCATTTTTCCTCCTTTTGTATGGTCTGTGATTTTCACCAACCTCTTAACAAAGTACCAAGTCAGAGATACGCTACCACAGGAGAAAACATATTTTTCCATGGGAAAACTTAATATTTTCTTACATGTTTAAAACAAAGTTCAGATGGCAAAAAGAAAAAGGAGATGAATTATTTAATCAGTAAGACTGACAATAGAAGAAGCAGAGGCTACAATTTAAATGCTGGGCCCTTGGGTCCATTTTTCAGAAATCTCTCCTAATATCTTTTATTCATCAGGGCCCTTTCAAAGGCACATCCTTCCCAGCACAGGCTGGGGCTGTGGGCTTGGATCTCAGGCTCTAAAATGGGGATGTCTCGGATGCGCATGCTGCTGGCAGAAACATCCTCCCAAGAGATTCAGCATCCTGCTTTGCACTACGTGTGAAGCATCTCGGGCAGGAAAGCCAGATCAGCCGGCTTTCTCCTATAGCGCAGGAATAGCTTCTTCCTTAGAGCTTTACCCTCCTGCTAATAGCTGGACCATCCATGACATAAGACCCACCCAATGTTGAGTGTAATAAATGAAAGTTATTCTCAGACTTACAGGAGCTTTTTCATTTCCTTCTTGAGCAGCCTTCTTTCCATGATTAAAGACTTATCCAGCTGAGCAGGTATCTGCAGCTTACACTGCACCTGTTATCCTTTGGAAAGACCCAGCCTCTCTGAGCCTAGAAGCTACAGCAGCAAATCAGAGAGGATTTGAGTTAGGGATGCTATCACTCCCAATACCAGTCATGGAATCCTAGGCTCTGGAAGGGATCCGAGAGTTGCAGGCCTCTTATCCAGCAGGTTCCAGATCAGAAATCTGTCTGGAAGCCAGTACACTGTACCTTGAGTTTATCTGACGCCTCTTATTCCTTCCAAGTTTTTTCAATATTCATCATTTACTTATCCTTGCAAGAAACTAGCAAGTAAAACCAACACGGCTCATGTAATCATAGATAAGAGTGTTTGGGCAGAACCATCCAAACACAGATGGTCTGTGATCTAAATATGTTTGAGTTCTGTATGTGTTCAGCATAATGACTCCCAGTAAATCTACCTGGTTCATGGCTCATAACAGAGTTTCCTATAGAACACTTGTACAACTTCTTGTGGCCAGGAGGCCCTGGTAAGAACATGGGGTGATGGCAAAGGTGAGGCCACGTCTTCAAGTCTCACCCCCATAATGAATTCCTGAAGAGGATATGAAAGGGCTGGCAGGGATGGGTGGCGAGGTATCTCCACAGGAATCTCTGTAAAGTCCTGGTTTTTGAACTATGTAATGCATTGCCTATTTTAAAAAACTAAGTTGGGAAACTCCACCTGAAGGTAACTGGTGGTGCCTGGTCTCTTACAGCAGAGCTGACCCTCACACACTCACAGCTCAAAGCCTCAAGGATGCTGCCTACCTGGGGAAACAAGGCACCTGCCCAGGCCTCTCCAGGTGTCCCCTGCAGAGCACCCCACTTCACTCCCCCTGTCCTCATTCACCTCGTCCTCCAGCCCCATCCAGGACCCAGTGGCCTCCCCTCTATCATCATTGTTGCAGTTGGCTCAGCAGCACCCGGACTTGGGGCATCCAGGTGAAGAATTAAAGTTCAGGTGATGGGGTCAAACAGGATCTGAAGTCATAAAAAGGAGTTTATTTTGAAAATCATCACTGTTGAATGAAATGCCCTAGGAGAGGGTGTAAATGTGATATCAACTTTATCTGCAATGTTTAATTTCTTAAAAAAGATTCTTAAGCAAATTGTGGTGGTTAATTTTCTGTGTCAATTGGCTAGGCCAGTGTGCCCAGATATTTGGTCAAACATTATTCTGGTTGTTTTTGTGAAGGTGTTTTTTGGATGAGATTAACATTTAAATCAGTAAACTCTGAGTAAAGCAGATTACCTTCCATTGTGTGGGTGGGCCTCATCCAATCAGTTGAAGGCCTTAAAAGAACCTCTCCTGAGCAAAAGGAATTCTGCCAGCAGACTGCCTTCAGACTTTAACTGCAACTCTTCCTTGAGTCTACATCCTGTCACCCCACCAGATTTTGGACTGTCCAAGTTACTACAATCACATGAGCCAATTCCTTAAACTGAATTTCTCTCTACGTATATATACACATCCTGTTAGTTCTATTTCTCTGGAGAGCTCTGACTAATACACATAAAAGAAAAATTGTTAACATTTGTTGACTCTGGGGTAATAGGTCTGTAGCTGTTCATTATATTACCTTCCATACTTTTGAAATTATGCATATGTTTTTAAATCACTGCTCTAAAAATGACTGGGGAAAAAACTTAGAAACTTTTGAGGGGAAAATTAGAGCATATAAACATTAAACTTCATTTAATTCAGCTCTCCAACAATAATCAGAGAGGAAACAGGATGCTACTGATTTAAATAAATTCTTCACCAAACCAGTTTAATTATTGTGGGCCATTCTTGCTGCTGCTACATCTGCTAATGCCTTGGATAGGACGTAGAAAAGGGAATAAAGTAGGAGCATCCCATAGGAAATGGATTAACTATAAAGACAGTGATATTGCTCTCAACCAGAGAGTCAACTGGGACAGGAGACTGGAAGCCAGAAAGGTTGCCTTGTGGCCTAGACCAGGAAAAGCACTGGACCTGGGGAGGCCAGATGCCGGAATATGGAGTCCACTCCACCACTGACTATGTGGCCCTGGCCAAGCCTCTTGGCTTTTCTGGACCCCACTCTCTGGTGTCGTCTAAAATGTGATGAGCCTAGTTAACGTCACCCAGAGGTCTTTTCACCTTAACTTTCCACAACTTTATAAAGGCTAGCATGTGTTATCATTCCTCCAATTCAATAATTTTAAAAATGTTTGTTGGTAAAAAAAAAATCTGTCTTACCTCAATTCCTTGACAGGTGAGAGAGGCGCTTTGTTAGCTTAGAAGCCTTTTTAAAAAGCAAAAGATTCAGCATTTGCTTTAACACATTCTTGCTTTGTAATTCTGAACCAGCTCCTTGAATTTTGGACACACAAATTATAAAACTTGAGTCTCTTGGTTGTTGGGACAGCTTCCTCTTAGAGCCATCCCCCTTCCTCTACAATTCAATGTAGCATAAGATGCAAAGATTTTAAAAACATGAGCATCTTCCATTCTCATTAGGTTGGAGGTCAGGAGACCCTGGGAGGCTGCCAACTAGCTGTGTCACCTTGGACAAATGAATTTGCCTCTCTGTGTTTGTGTGTTTCCCCCTCTGTAAAACAAGCACTAAAGGACTGGAGAGGTCCTGCCAGCTGTCGAGTTCAGTGACAGACATGTGTTTGGTTGAAAGAGGGACTCTGTTCAGTTTAGACTGAATTCAGCCAGTCATCCTTCTTTTCTGTCTATAGAACTTAAACGAAAACAGGGCTCTAGCTGGAAATACAAATAAGAGAGCTACTGGAAAGATTCCAGCTCTCTCAGGCCTTAACCGTTTCACAGAAACCAACTCCCCAGCAGTCACAGCCCCCATATTCTACAGGAATAGCGCGCGGAGGAACATCTGCTCACTCGCTGCATGTCCGAGCTCCGCGGCCCGCATCTATGGGGCAGGTCTCCAAGGCTGTGTTCTGTTAACGAATTCCCCTTTCACAGTCTCTCACCAGTCGGAGTTGATCCCAGTGCTTTTGTTCTGTCTGTGCTTCGTGCTTCCGGAGGCGTGCTTGAGCATGGACGGAGCTGGTGCTCACAGACATCCAGCAAAAATACTTTTCTTTTTTGGTTGCTAGGAAACAGTGACAGAACGAAAATGTGTGTGTGTTTTTTAATATTCCTACATATCCTGCAGGAGGGTGGAAAATCGTATATTTGGGACAAGAGTATGATCCTGACCTGGAGTTCACGGGTCCTTTTACTGGAGCAGGCGTCGGTTTCCCTTCTGAATGATTCATGGAAAGCCGAGGGTGCAGGCCGTCCAGCCCCACACGCCGGAGGGTTTTGTAGCACTTAGCTGCAGACCCGGAGTTAACTGACCCCGCAAGGATTTCAGGGGGAGCCAGTGAACCTCTGGCTCCTCACACACTTAGGTTGATTCTACTTGGTGACCACAGACACAGGGCAGGGAAATCCTGAAGATCCATCATCTTTCTCTCCTACTAAGTGGTCTCTCACCTCCCACACCGGCCTCCTCATCTTAAACGCTTCCTCCTTTGCTTAAAGCTTGCAGATGGTGTCCCTTTGCTCTGAGAATAAGATCTAAACTCCTAGCCGGGGCCTGTGAATGGGCGTCCTCCATGCCCTGGACAGGGGCAGACTTTGTCACTTGGCCTCTCCAGGCCTGTGTGTCTGTCATCATTACCACTTAACCCTCCTTTCCACTCCTCTGCGTGACCAAGATATCTTGTTTCCTTGATATCTCAGGTACTCTCTGAGTGACAGTGACACTAGATTTTATAGGCTAGTTGTTCACTCCACATTGAATTTATATTGTACTTAGAACATTCCAGGTTTTGTGAGCCTAAAATTTATACAACATGGGGGCCCCCTTTAAGGAAATAAATGCAAAATTGTGACTACAAGGTTGAATGTTTATTTTCAAGGGAAAAATTCAGGTTTCCCTCTAGTGTGGCTGTTTACAATTTGTTTTAAATTATAAAGTATTAGAATAAACTAAGAGTTATTTTTTAGCTTATTGACTCCATGTTGATAACGTCTTTATTCTGTTTTCCACAATTTCCTGCTCAAGACATGCTCCTTCCCCAGGGCGCCTTGAGAACTTTACTCTTAATCTTACTAGGCTTGTTCATCCCTTGCCCTCCCCTCACCCCCACACCCTCTCCTACATTCCCCTTCATCCCCGTCCCACATCATAGTGGTTATTTCTTATTCTACTTATTAATAGATGGTGGTGCTTATTAATATAGTGTTTGCATCTTACTCCGTTGTATTGATTCATCCTTTGCTCTTTAAAAGTACTCTCTTAGTGTGTTTATGTTGAATCTCCTTATTTTGATGGTGAGGTCCCACAGTGTAAACATCATGCTTTCTATCTGTGTGCTCCCCCAAAAAGATTCATGATATTGCTGTGTGTTTATCATACATTCACTAAATATTACCTGGCATGGGAAAATTTTTTTTTCTGTTCTGAAAGTAATGAGAACTCTAAACATATTTAGCAGATAAAATCTCTGCTCTCTCATTTATATGAATGTTCTTGCCCTCCTTGGTTGAACAATTGGGTGGTGGTGGAGGGGGAGGTGGTCAGCAGAGGTTGACCAGATGGTAGCATTTTTAGCATTTGCATTTGGTAGGGGTTAAAAAACTGCATGTACATACAAGCAGTGTATAGTAAGTTGGCATTGATGAGCACAGTGTTTTTCCATGGGAAAAAAAAGATGAGTTTTAGTCATCTTCTCTGTGAATACAAGAGACCAGACATTGAAGGGTAACAAGGCTATGGCCATGCTCACCTTAGGATTCTGACAAGTCTGAACATATCTGGGCAAGTCTGGAGGACCAGGGACTGCAGTGTTACACCAAGACTCTCTTTGCATCAGTGGTTCTCAACATTGGCTATACTTTAGAATCACCTGAGGAGCTTTAAATACTCCCCAGGACAGCTAACTCAGAATCTCTGAGGGTAGGACTCAGCCATCCATAATCTTTAAATTTCTCCAGGGTTCCAACATGCAGATGAGGTTGGGAACCACTGACATGTAAAGGACCAAGAGACACTGTAGG